AAGTCAACCACATCCATGGTTTCCTGAACTCTTTCCCATTTCTCATGGCTTCCTATAGATAAGAGCAAGTAAACTTTCTAAATAAATTAGAAGTTTAACATCAACTCACATACCTAACTCATTTGTGAGTGCTAGAAAAGATGGGTTCTTTCAGCTCTTCTTCAACTTAGTATGAACTTTGTCTGATTTCTCCATCCTCTTGGGGACTGGTATATACCTTTAGTTAAGAGTTCAGATCTTCTCAAGGAGACAAACAAGGTTTTAGTAACAAATTTGCATGCTACAAGTCTTATCATTCAACTCCTGAAAGCATGTAGAGCAAATTTAGACCACCAAACTACAGTAACTCCTCTTCTGTTTGGCCTATTTCATAGCCACACTCTTCCACTTAAAGCATTACTTCATTTTAAATAAATATTTTTACAAGGAAATTCTAATACAGTCCTGGAAGAAGGATGCTATTACACTGAAGTTAATTCAGAATTGCTCAGCCAAAGCTTTAAAATCAAATTTGTCTACCAGTTGCCGTTAGTGGCATCCTTCATGAGAAGCCAAGCTCAAGTGGTCATCTATGATCTTTACCACTCCTGCCGTCCAGCAATTTGCATGTTCGTACAGGCTGACGTGAGTGACAGTGATAGTCAATGTGATCATAAAGCAGCAGCTAATGCTACTCAGTTGCTGGTTTCATTAGATCAGATCAAAAGTTTCTATGATATAGAAAATCCTTAAAGTGTTCTCTCAGTATCATCTAAGTTTCATCAATAGGCTAGATACACCTCCTGACCACATTGTGGTCAGTGCAGTATACTTATTAACACAGCATGTTTGTCAAGTAGCAATCTCTAGTGTATTGAAACAGACTGTAAAAGAGCTTCCATATCATTAGGATTTCTTTGGTTTGCATCTCTTTACCACAATGACTCATTCCTATGTCCTATTTATTTTGCCAATCATTTATGCCCTTTGATCAAGGCAGTTAACCTGTTTCTAACACTTTCAGAATTTATCCAGAAAGAGAAATTGATCACTACTTCACACATCAAGATTTAAATAAATAAATAAATAAATAAATATAACAACCAAACAAAACACCCAGGAGTAATGCCTAAGGGCAGCTAAGGTTTAGAAGCTTTACTCCTGTATGAACAGGCATGTAATCTATCCAGCTTTTTTCAGAATACTTCATGCCAAGTAGTATGAAGTACCAACATAATTTGACAGTGACTGATCAGTCTTACTCCCAAGCTTTTTCATGTCCATTATTCAAGGTTACAATTGATGTCTAAAACTAAAATGCGTAACTCTGAAATACATAGGTCTATGTAAAACAGTATGCTTCCTCTCCCTTCATCACTTCACATTCCCTCCCTTTTGATGCTGCTGCAAAAATTTGCATTCTTTTGTACCTTACAACAAGGCGGCTATTTTCAGAAAAAAAAAAATAACATAGGCAGTGTACCATTGTCATGCTCCATTTGATAGAATTATCACTAAAAAAAAAAACAAAACCAAAAACTAAAACAAATCCTCAGCTAGCACAAGAATTTGAAGTCACCCAGGAACCTGCTGCATTGCAATACACAGCACAACATAGCACAGTATCTGCATTATGGTCTTAAGTTGATGAATGAACTAGATGGTCAGTTCTTGGCATTGACTTAAGTACAAAACCTTAGACTGTTGCATCCAGGTCTTTAAGGAGACCTTTTTATGATGAACTGTTATGTACACTGATCTAGCGAAAAATAAGCATCATCAATCATAGAATTGACCGTGTTGGAAAAGACCTCCGAGATCATCAAGTCCAACCTTGATCCAACACCACCGTGGTTACTAGACCATGGCACTAAGTGCCAAATCCAGTCTCATCCCTCCAGGGATGGTGAATCCACCACCTCCCTGGGCAGCCCATTCCAATGCCTGATTACCCGCTCTGTAAAAAATTTCTTCCTAATACCCAACGTAAACCTCCTCTGGCACAGCTTTAAGACCATGCCCTCTTGTCCTAATGCTGGTTGCCTGGGAGAAAAGATTGACACCCATCTGGCTACAACTTCCTTTCAGGTAGTTGTAGAGAATGATGAGGTCTCCCCTGAGCCTTCTCCAGGCTAAACAACCCCAGCTCCCTCAGCCTCTCCTCACAGGACTTGTGCTCGAGTCCCTTCACCAGCCTTGTTGCTCTTCTCTGGACCTGCTCCAGCACCTCAATGTCCTTCCTGAACTGAGGGGCCCAGAACTGGACACAGCACTCCAGGTGTGGCCTCACCAGTGCTGAGTACAGGGGAAGAATCACTTCCCTGGTCCTGCTGGCCACACTGTTCCTGATCCAGGCCAGGATGCCATTGGCCTTCTTGGCCACCTGGGCACACTGCTGGCTCACGTAATCTCTCTTTCTATGCACAAGGGTTAGATTTTAATTCAGAAGCCTTTCTAAATGCATCAAAATCAATTCAGCACCATATTGCTTGCAGGGAAGTCACATGTAACATTACTTACCATAAGATTCAGATCTTTTCAAGAGATCTAAAGCTGTTTGTCTGCACACACCAAAAGACAAAATTATCTACGTGAGCTGTTGAAAGCCAGAAGACGGCTGGGCTGACGAGTTAAAAGGGAATGACTATCACATGCTCAGGCACTGTGCTACACACTTCAATAAAGTGCTTTAGAGAATATGTTCTATGACTATATAGAAGCCATCTTCAACTTGGTTTTTTAACTAATAACTTCAATATAAATCTGCTGACATCTTCAGGTATTTGGAAATATTCCTGACTCTGTACATAAACAACTTCAGAACACAATCCCAGGCTGAGGACTTCAACAGTTTTAAGACCATCAAATAACTCATATGGATATTAAGACACTCTTTATTTTAATTATTAACTCTGAGATGTCAAGTGCTATAGTAGTCCAAATTGTCACTCTCACGCTGGCTAAGCACATGCCAATCAAAAATGATTAAGTCTAAGATTACTTCCCTTCTTGGTCTTATTTTTTTTATTGGGGGAAGAACCCTCAGCCCCTTGAAAACAGAATAGCCTGAACTACCAGATTAGACTAAGAGTTTGGAGTGCAAATTGCAGAACAGTTGTATCTTCCCATTTTTGCTAGGGAAAGACTAGCCAGGGGTTTCATACAAAAGTACTATGAAATAAGAAAAATATTTCAGTGACAGGAAAAAATTTAATTCTTAAATCTATCAAATATTAGCACAAGCTTCCAGGGATTAATTAGAAGCTCTTAACTCAGTCTTTACCTATAAGTTTCAAAAACACGCTAAGGGCAATAATCAAGAGTGAAAAATACTGTCTTCTGGATCTTGAAATTAACATATGGATATATTGATGTAACAAAGAACCTATTTACATTTTGGGAAGTTCTAAGTTACAGCTAAGTTTCTGCCTATCCTGTTGAAATGGGTTGCTTTGGAAAAACATACAGCCTGCCCCAGGCTCAGTGATTAAGGACTGAAAAGAAGTCAAATGCAAGCATGGCAGCCTGCCAAACCCCAGGATCCTGATAGCCTCCCTTCTCCTATCTTTGGAACCCCAGACTTGCTAAAATATACCCAGGGGATTGCAGCAGCTTGTACTGATACTGTTAATTGATTTACAGAAAGTTAAAGGAACACATCAGAAGAGAAAGCTTGCCAACATTTTACATGCTCTTCAAAACAGCAATTACAAAATATTTTCATTGGCCTTACAGGCCAGCAGCAGAAAGATACATGGGGTGTTTCGGCATATGGCATTAAGAAGCAGGCTTTTTAGTCTGAGGAATCACATTTGTAGTGTTTTAGAGCAGAAAGAAGAGAAGCTGATGTACAGCTGGTCTGCCACAGGGCTACAGCAGCCACACATTACACTTCCTAATTTCTGAGTTTCCAGCAATAAGGCACAGAGTTAATGGAAACAGTAACTACCAGGTTTTCTTCCTTGTGTCTTCCAGTAGCATAAGTTTAAACACCAGGATTTGAAATACATTTTCATATCCAAAATTGGATATATTCTGAACATGGCAGACACGGATGAAGAGAGCTGCAGGTTCATATCTGGGCTGCACACAAAACCAGAAATACAATACCAATCAAGGTGATTAAGGAGCTGACAGGACAGACTTCTTACAAGGCCACAGCAAAACAGAGATTGTTCTATGGCATTTAACACTGCAGCATAAGAAAAGTTAACCATGGTAAGTATACAGTTGGAATCTTTGAAATAGAGGTGTTAAATAACAGTTTTGAACTAGAGGAAAGGAATGATGCACAGTTTGCACAAGTGAGCAGGGCTTTTCTGCTTCCACATGCTCAAAGTACCTTCCTAATACACAAACTCGTTATTTGAATGTAGAGCTAAGCATAACAGAAGTTCCATTCCCTCACTCCACGTTTCAGGGACATAAGTTACTTTTAAATCAAGGAGGTGGCTCCAAACACACAAAGTTTAGCATACTTCTTTTGAGGACAATTTTAGCTATTTGAGTTACCTTTAACCTGTAAAGCATGCTTACTAAACATAACCTACTTGGAAAAGATATTTATTTCTTCTAGATGCATTACAGAGCCTTAACCATGAATTGATTTTAGCAGTAGCTGTAACCAAGGCCACTAGCGCCCAGACAAGCAGGTCAGGAAGAGCAATACGAGCAGGAACCCTCCGGGAGCTGTGGATCCGGCAGTCAGAGCAAAGCAGCTGCTTGAAAACTGCTACAAAACCCCGGGCCAAGCCAAGAGCCCCACAAAGTCAGTTAACATCAGCACACAGAGCTGCTAAAAAGCCAAAAACTTCACTCCCACGTCAAGACCTCCCTCTACTTATGCCTCAAGGCAGGCAAGAGAGGTTGCATGTAACAGGGGGAAGGAGAAAAACAAGAAAGCAGATTTCACTGTCAAAATACACTTCCGTCCGCAGAGGCCGTGACTCGGGCCCCCAGTAGACAGGTTCACAGCACCCTCGGGGCTCACCCTGCCGGGAGAAGCCCGCCTCGTCCCGTACCTGCTATATCCCAGAGCTGCAACCGCACCAGGGTCTTGCTGTCCCAATTGATGACTTTGAGCGCGAAATCCACGCCGATAGTGGCCCGGTAGTGCTGGGAGAAGAGCTGGTGCACGTACCGCTTGATAATGCTGGTTTTCCCCACGCCCAGCTCCCCGATCACCAGCACCTTGAAGAGGTGCTCCCGACACTCCGCACACGCCGAGCCCGCTTCCTTCCCCGCCCGGCCATCCTCGGCCCTCCCTCCCGTGGAGTGCGGGCGGAGAGGCCGGGCTGCCGGGGCCGCCGACTCTCCCGCTTCTAAACTTTCCCAACTAGCAACTTTCCTCCAACTTTCTCCAGCCGGCTCCCTGCAGGGCCGGCCCTCCCCGGGCGGGGGAAGACAGAGCAGGACAGAGGGAGGAAGGGAGAAAGGAACCCCAGCCACCACCTGACTGCAGTCACAGGACGCGGAAACTCCGCGGGCTTATACCAGCCCGGGGGAGGGCGGTGGGGAGGGGCAGGGGGCGGACCTGGCCCGCCCCGCCGCTCCGGGATGCCGGGTGGGAATCGGGACACAGCACGGTAGGAGCAGGTTTGCGTGTATCCCAGAAGCTGCCTCGGCTCCACGTCCGCCAGAGCGGGCGGGATGGGCTGGAAGCACTCGGGGAGAGCGGAGCGGGGTCGCGGCCGCAGGGGCCGTAGCGGGAGCTGAGCCTCGAAAGAGGGCTCGGACCAGGGAAGTTTCAGCTCCCCACCGGTGCCATCCTCTGCCCCCTTCTAGTGGTGCTGGCAGCGAAGTTTTCCCCCGATGAAGTCTCTGGAAACACTCGGGTTTTCTCCCCAGCGTTCGGCAAAGCGTGTTACGACAGAGAGGGCTTTATCAGGATGCGCGGCAAGTGGAGAGTTCCAGTGACCCATGCTGGCACCCCGTCGCCTCTCCGTTACCAGAAGCCGTCTAGGGGCCCTGTGGGTGCAGGGTGTTGCACCCCAGCCACCTCCCTGAGCTCACAGGCCCTGCAGTAAGGCCTGGGACTGGGCATGGGAAGGGTGGTGCTGAACTCGCCCTGTGCAAACAGGCAGCAGTGACGTAGCGTTGTGCACTCGGGCAACCAGGTAGAAATCACCTGCTCATCTGCAGGACTCCTATTAAACCCATTAAACACCTACGGCTAAAATTGTTCCCCTCCAGTTCCTAAACTGATCTAGTAAAATACTTTTTATCACTCTCTGGTTGTTTTAAAAATTATACCAGATAGTCCTAGAATCACAGAATGGCCTGGGTTGGAAGGGACCTTAAAGATCACCTCATTCCAACCCCACCACCATGGGCAGGCACACGTTCCAGTAGACTAGGTTGCTCAAAGCCCCATCCCAGCTGGCCTTGAACACTTCCAGGGATGGGGTATCCACAGCTTCTCTGAAACAGACACATAGTTAGAACCCAAAATAAAATAAGTTTCCAGTCCTTAGGACTATGCAGTACCATGTATGCAGATTGTAGGTGCCAGGAAAAAAATATCTTTACTAACATACTCTCCAAATGAAACACACAACCCCAGCTGTTTGTGCTTGCAATAAAAGGATGAAGTTGTGTGGCTAAGTGGCATTGTCTCCATGCTGTAATATTTGTTTATCATATAAATACTTTAACAGAACTATTTTGTGCTGGAGAACAATGACAGCCACTCCAAAACGGAAATATTATGTGGTTGTCTGGACAGCATGTGTGCACACAGGCTGGAAAGCCAAGCAAAGATCCGACTAACAGTGAAGTAATGCCTCCAGGTGGAAAGAAAGAAGTGGTTAAAATATATGGTAACTAATCTGTCAAACAATCATCAGTTACTTCTGATACTACAGCAATTTATTCCATATGCTAATTTCTTTGCTATGCTTTAAATCAATGGCTTCAGTAAAATGATCCAAACTTCTTCAGGTGGCTTGGAGAATACTTACTTCCATGTCATACAAAGATGGTGTATACAATGTAGATGGGAGTGGATGAAGATAATAGCTGTTTGGCAAAATAAGGCAAAATAGCTAGCACTCTTGGAGAAAAATTGTGTTTAGTGATTTTGGTTTAATTTTGTTAATTTAAATTGCTATGATATATTAACTTCATGATAATTGTTCCAAGTAGTGTTTACTTTCCCAGCAGTAATGACATCAGAATATAAGCTAGGAAAAGTCTGTAACTCAGTTTTTTTATTTTTTTTTTATGGAGGGTGGCAACGGTAACACAGGTTCCTGTCAAGAAATGAGACAAAAAAGAGACATTGTCACTAACTGAGAGGTTGAAGATGAATATGAGACTGTTATTTTATATTAGACTGTATATTAGAAAGTGATACTTTAACCACTATGCACTTTGGTAAACCTCTCTAACTGTGTTTAGACTGATGTCTGTTGGTTTGTGCACTGTGGTCCATTCAGACAGGGGATTTGTCTGGCATGCACTGAAGATCTCTGCCCAGACCAGTGCCAAAGTTTCACTCTTCTTGCAAAAAACAAGAGGGGATGGAATTGTCACATGCTTACGTAAGGATGTTGCTAGGGTCTAGTATGGGTGCTTTCTTCCTCAGGCTTAGATGTAGTCTTTGTGCCTTCATTCCCAACCTGTCACACAGTAATTACTTCCCTCATTCCTTTTTTTTTTTTTTTGGTAAAAGCAAGTGAATTGGTAAAACCAATATTCTGGTTTTGGCTGGGATGGAGTTATCATATGAGACAACTAAATGACCATCTGTACTATTATTAATAAACTGAATACAAGTACTTAAGGATACAAGTTTGGTATCAACAGCACAAAAGAAGCCTGTAGCTTAATTTTTTTCTCACATACTGATTTTGAGCAGTATGAGCCAACATCAGAACCAAAGAAGTCTATAAAAATCATGAAAATCATGATCTGTTCATAGAAGAGTCACTAAAAAACACCAAGGGCAAAATGTGACTGATAATTTGCCATGATTAATAGTTTGATTAGTACTAATTACATTACATCGAGCCAAACATATAGCACTAGATCTTACCTGAACTAATACTTTGTCTTAATTTCATTAATATTAATTTTGTTCAAGCTGTCTGATACCTTTGTGGAACAGCTTGGAAAAATTCAGTCATTTGCAGTCTTGTCTCTCTGGTGCAGTAAAATCCATCATGTATGAGGTTGTAGAATAATCAACACCCGCCTGGTGCAGAGTAGGTAATCTTCATATTGTGAGCTAAATTTGGGTGTCACTTGGTCTTCTATAAGTAATTCTACTTCTTAACTGGCTCCCTTTTGTCAGTTGAATGTCAACAAAACCCCCCTATTGAACAAGGGCTGTTGACCTTATGATAAAGTAATTGGGATTACAACATTATATTTTGCCTTCAGTTGCCTCCACTGGGAGACCAAGAAAGGGTTATTTTGAACCATATTAACTAGCTTATCTGGTTGGTTGCCTTTAAATAAGACACCTGTTTCATATTTCAAATATAAAATAAATGCTATTTGGTTTTGGTGGGGGTTTTTTTTGTTTCTCTGCACCGGAGGTTTCAGGAATGTGTAAGAGAAAATGTGTATCTTACAAAACAGGCTTTTTATATCCTCTCAGTCCAAAGGCTAAAGTTTGATCTGAATAAAAACTATTTATTTTCAACAGTTGCTGTTTGTTGGTATTAGTCAGCCCATCCCTGGGTTCCTTTTCTAAATTATCTATTTATCCACATGTCAGAATATTGGCTTCCAACAGCAGGTTGGTTCAAGGAACCAACTGCTCACTGGAAATGCTTCAGAACTTTTAATAGCCTAATGATCATTACATGACAAACACCAAAGGGCTGGTGAAATATCTTAGCTTTTAAGACAACATTGTAGCTTCCTTTTTTTTCTGATCCTTGATGTCTTTTGTATTTCTCTTCCTTCAAGACTGCTTCTTCTAATCTTTTACATGTTAGTCTCTCCTCCACTTCCTCTACAACACCATTTTGCCTTATCTCCCTTCTATTTTCAGCATACCAACTGTAAGTCTTTAATAACTTCTCTTTTTGCCTTCTTTTTCTTTTTTAACCTCCTATTTTTATTTCCTTTTCCCTTGAATGTTTGTCTTCACCTGACCTCAGTTTAGGCCTTTCATTTTTTACTTTCTTTTTCATTATTTCCTTCTTTCTTTCATACTCAGCTTCCTGTTCTCCTGAGTTTTTTCTCCTCTGCAGTGAGTGAGAGATTTTTCATGTTTCTGCTTGTCAGCCTGTGGTAAGGAAGGGACAGCAACAGGTTCAGCCAGTTAGACCAGGAAAGCCACAGGAGGCACATTATTGCCCAAAGCAGAGGGATACATTTCGTTTACTCTTCCCTGTAGATGCATTAGAAGTGAAATTCGTAGCTGAAGGGGTGGTGTGAGTAGCTGAAAAAGTGGAAGTACAACACATGGGCAACTTCCCTGTATGCATATGAGGAAGCACAGCTGCTTGGACACCGTGACTGAGCAGATTTGCACACGATGTTATCTATCTCCATGTGCTTCTCTGATCTGGTGGAGGATGCACAGAACACTTCTTCTGCTCTACATAGTGTTTCCCAAAAGTCAAGGTGAAGGAAAAGGTCTCTGCTGTAAAAGAACACTGTCACCACAAACGTAGTGTACTTCTGGCACAGCATAGGTGACTGAATGCTTTCATTTAACCATGATTTTTTGAGGGAAATTTCCCAAAGTGCTGCTTTTAGTGATAGTAACATAACAAACAATAGAGACCAAGGTAAGAGTGGAAGGCTGGAGGTCTTTTGGAAAATGCTTCTATGGTCAAGTAAAACACTAGACAACAAAGCATATACACAAGAGGACTGAATTAATGTTACTTGAAATTTATGTATGAGTTTACAGTCTACAAATATGTGTCTAGATTTTGCCCACAGAAAACATTCTCCATCAGTTGTATGAGAGCACCCATGAACAGAAAGCCGTGATTATATGTTAGTATTAGCCTGCCTGGGGCTGCACTTCCTGCAAAGCAATGTGATACACTGTTGTCTCCTGACCATAAATTTAACTGAATTATGTGGGCTTAAACTTGTAATACATACACAGCCTGCATATAGGACAGTTCTATTGGTACTTGAAAGATGTGGTTGGAGAAATACAGATACTGTTTCTGTGTCACTTGTAAAATGTATCTTGGATGCATACATGCAGAGCTGTTATTAGACAATCATAAATATAGATTGGAAAATCCAAAAAACTAAACATAAATTTTTATTAAAGCTGGTAAAATAGTGCTGTATGCAGTGCAGTAATGAGAGAATTCTTCTGTCTGGAAGAGGAAGAGAAACCAATCATGAAGAGGTCATCTCAAATAATGATGTTTGTCAGGCTCAGGCAAATGTCTGGAGAGATGCCTGATGATCCCAGACAGAAATCTCTTTCCGATGGTCTTGCATAAACTTAGGATAGTTTTCCTCAACTAACTCGTCTGTAATCTATGCAAGTAAATGATGGACTTGGACTGCCATTTTCATATGGCTATCAAGCTTACTTGTTCCCCAGTTACAGGCTTCCTGTTAACCACATTCTGGGTTATATTTGTTTTATCACTAATTCTGTTATTTTGAAAAGTCTTTTGTGTCTTTTCAGTCATCAGGAGATTAATAGATATCATACTGCTGAGGCACTGAGGGACTGAGAGGTTCTTTCATCCTCTAGCTGTGACTGCAACAAAATAGTGGCAAACACTTGCAAAAGTGCAAAAGACCTGCTGATCTCTTCCTTGAATTCTTTTGGTAAATCCACATCTATGTAGGAAACAGACTGAGAGAAACCGCTTTTGAATTGTCTCCACTGCAAATATTTTTTTCTTCTTTATGAATGGAAATGGTAAATTCTTTGCCTTCATTATCAGCACTCTGAAGAAGATAATAGTTTAATAGTTCAGTATTG